TATATTTTGTATTAATTTCAGAGAGGAAGGGAGAAGGAAAGAGAAATAGAAACATCAATGGTGAGAGATAATCATTGATTGGCTACCTCCTGCACACCCCTACTGGGGATGGAGCCCACAACCTGGACATGTGCCCTGACTGGGAATTGAACCGTGACCTCCTGGTTAATAGGTCGATGCTCAACTACTGAGCCATGCTGGCTGGGTAGAATTGGAAGCATTTTATGTGAAATCAAATGTTTTATTGAAGTAACTGGGAACTTTGACCCCAGAGGGAAGATTCAACAAGTCCTTCAAAGAGAACGGAGAGTTATTTATGGAAGTGGGGGTGGGGGTGTTGTATTAAACATGCATAAAAATTGCAGCTAGAGCAGTGGTTCTCAACCTTCCTAATGCCGCGACCCTTTAATACAGTTCCTCATGTTGTGGTGACCCCCAATTTCATTATTACAAATTGAACATAATTAAAGCATAGTGTAATCACAAAAACAATATGTAATTATATATGTGTTTTCTGATGGTCTTAGGCGACCCCTGTGAAAGGGTCGTTCCACCCCCAAAGGGGTCGCGACCCACAGGTTGAGAACCACTGAGCTAGAGGGATCTGGGTGTGATGGCACCATAAGGACAGAAGGCATTTCAGACTTCCCTGAGACCTACCTTTACAAATTGCCCCACTGTCCTGGGTTTCCTGGGGGAGGCCAGGCCTGCCTTACTTGGAGGAGGGCAGGTAGGGGAAGCAGGCTGCCTCTAAGTTCTGCATACTCCCGGCTTCTCCACCATCACCATGCCCTGTCCCTCTCTGTCCCACTTCAGGGTAAATGTGCCAGCAAAGCACTATACTCCATCGAAACGGAGGATGTGCAGGACCAGTGCTCCTGCTGCTCCCCGACGCGGACAGAGCCCATGCAGGTGCCCCTGCGCTGCACCAACGGCTCCATCGTCTACCATGAGGTCCTCAATGCCATGCAGTGCAGGTGCTCCCCCAGGAAGTGCAGCAAGTGAGGCCCCTGCCATGGGCACCCAATGCCGCCTGCCTTGCCAACCTGCCAGAGTGCTGCCCGGTCCTCTGTATCCTCTGCTCTCATGCCCTCCCGGGCCCACAATAAAGGCCAATCTCTCATCTTGCAAAAGGCTAATGCAATGGTTCACTGTGTCCTCCCAGGCGATCTGACAACTGTAGGCTGGGCGAGTTCAGAGATGGTTCTGAAGGAGGAAACTCAAGTTCCACCTGAAAACACTGCAGCCCCAGAGTCTGTGGGAGGCACTGCCAAACTGGAAAAAAGTGGTGTCCTTGCCTCCATGCAGTGCAGAGAGGAGAGGAGAGTGTGGGGCGGGCCTCCTCAGACACTCAGCCCAATGGCTTGAAGTAAAAGGGATTTGCTCAGGAACACTGAGTTCTCCAGTCTCTGAATTCAGGGGCTTTGAGCAGGGCAGAGGGGTGGGCCCTGGAGCCACACTCCTGCTAAGATAGACATGGCTATCGCCAGCATGGCTGGCATTCTAGAGAAGAGGTATGGCCAGGTGTGCAAGGGTTTCTCTCAGCCCTGAGCTAAGTTCCTGTGTCTCCTCTGTGGCACCTGTGGAAGGAAGAGGTGCTGAGACTGAGGGGGTTGCAGATGGGGTGCTGGCAGGTACTAGAACATGTCACCATCAGGTCACCATGGGTGGTGAGCACCAGACTTGGGGGCAGACCTGGTTTCCACATAAGGCCCCTACTCTTCAGTGTGGCTTCAACTAAGCCCGTTAGTGGTTCTCAGATGTAGTTTCCTCATCTGGAAAACAGGAATGTGAGTCTTACTTGTAGGGTTGGAAGGATAAAATAAACTGGAAAGTCTGGGATAACTGTAATCACTCTATAATAATATGAGAAGGGACAAGAATAAAAATAGGGACATCAAGGCTCAAAAGGGGAAGTGTCTCTACCACCAGTGTCAGAGCACAGGGCATTTTCCTTGTTCTGAGGGGTGAGGAGCTGGGCTTCTTTCAGGCCGCATACTGGATGCCAAAGCTCTGCCTGCTTCAGGCACCCTCTTGGAAGGAAAAGAGGTGCAGATAACACCGAACTTCACCAGTCCCAGATCCCTAAGTGATATGGTCTTTCCTTAAAATGTATGAGAAAAGTGTACATGTATATGCTGGCAAGATGATGGAATCTGGTGAGTATTTTCTCCCTGAGAACAAAGGGAAGGTCTAGATTTGCGACAGGAACTCGATGGAGAATTGATCTTCCTTCCAGATCCTTTTAACCCAAGAGAGACTCAACTCATTGAAAGAATGATGGAGCTGGAAAGGATTTAGACATCATCTAACCCGCTGCCTCTCCTCTACCCTTTTACTGAGGATGAAAGCAGCTAGAAGAACTGCAGTGACTTGCCGAAGGTCACACAGCTGCTGGGTGGCCGGGCCAGTTCAGAACTCAGGTGCCTTGACCCGTAGGCCAGAACTCCAGGGCGGTCCACCAGAGCCACCCCATCCTGCTACTTACAGATTCAGCCCTTGCTATCGTGGGAACCAGGGACTGCTGCATTTCTAGGTCTCAACCATTTCCATTACTTCTGGGGACCAACCTCAAGGGACTATACACTACAAGCAAATGGCACAGATTGTGTTAAATAGGTTTAGTGGGGGAGTTTAGTAGGGTAGAGGGAAGGAAGAATGGATAGAAGTTTTATATAACTGTTCAATAATTCAAAGGTTGTCATCTCTCCATTCATCATCCTGCCTCCAACGCTGAGCAGCCTCTAAGGTCTCTTTAGGAAACCAGATCCAGTGCAAGGCATCGCCTGTCTCTCTCCTGACTGATCGCCTAACACTGCACCTGGGGATGAGGTGTTATTGGAGGCATCGGCCTCTACAGACAGACTCAGCAGAGAGGCTGCCTCTTTAGCATAAGGTGTCATTTTCCAACTTCCTGACCCGTCATGGCCTGAATTTCTCCTCCTACTAACTGATATGACAATTCATGATCAAGTAAAAAAAAAATAAACTGAATCAGAAAGGCTGCATGTTTTGATTTAAGAAAAAAAGGGAGCAGGGTAGAAAGGATGCAGAAAGGGAAACTGATGGAGGTAGTGGGGGTGTTGCACAACCTCTCTTACTCTGCAAGTCTCTCTCCCAAGGGGAGGGTCTGCCTCTGGTCGCAGGGACTTTTTTGCTCATCCTCAGACCAGAGGAGACAGTCCCTCCAAGTCAGAGTCTTAGGGGGAGTGTCAAGGAGGGAGTGTACAGAGACTAGGGGGTAAGAAAGTGCTGGAGGGAGAGAAGAAAGAGAATGGATAAAGGAACGATGGTGGAAAGTTTCCCACTTGTCTTGGTGTTGAAAAAACATGGAGAAGGTCCCTGGAAGCGAGTGGGGAGGGGGCATTGTCTGGGAGAGAAAGAAGCTGAATGGCAAAGTGTTTTGAGCACAGACTCTGGAGCAGGCTGCCTACTTTGGGATCTCACATACCCTTACAGGTAAGTTGCTTGATTCTTTTTTTTTACACCTCAGTCTCTCATCCACAAGATGGGTATACTAGCAGTAATTACCTCATAGAATTGTCGTTGGAAGGAAATAGTTACTACTGTGGGTTAAAGGGTGCCTGAGGAAGAGGAAGTCCTGTATAATAAACATGAGCCATGGTTACTCCTAGTGAGCAGAATAAAGCCCAGGATGGGGACCTAAATCTTCTGGTTTTCCCTCTGCTCTGCCCCTGGCTCATGCTGCGTGGTCTGCTCCCCTTTACTGCTACAGGCTCCTCATATAGAGTGGGGAGATAACATTCTTCACATTGAAAGGTCATGGTCATAAATAGCACACTTGATTTCAACATCCTACTATTTCATTTTCTGGGCCCTATGTATAAAGGAACTTGTTTAGCTCCAAGGCATCTTGGAATTGTAGATTCCATCATCCAAAACAGACTTTCTGAAGCCTTTTCTTCAACCCTTTGCCCATGGCCAGGTGCCTAACTGTTCCAGAGAGATGGCAGTCCTCTAGTTCTTTGGGTCCGGGCTTCCACAGGTTCCCTCCTCAACCCTGTCCCAGGGCCTCATGGGGAAGCTCTTCTACAACCTGCAGTCCCTCTTCCTGTCCTACCTGTCCCTTGTGTACCTAGTCCTTGACTCCTGCTCCTTTTAGCCAAGAAAAAGGTGGGGACAGCGGGTGGTGGATCGAGTGAAGGAAGGTGTGCAGGGAAGCGCCCAGCCCCACCTCACCCCGGGCATTTCCCAGGACTGGGCTGCAGGAAGGAGGCTTTGCGGGTGGGATTGGAAACTAATCAACCAGACGGTTCAGCAGATAATCCGGCTGAATATTCACACCCAGCCCAGGTTATGAGGCACCTCCCCCTGGCCGAGGAGCGCGGGCAGCACTTACTGTCTCGCCCCTCAGCTCCATTAACCAGGTGTCCCAAACGCCACCCTACCGCGGATGAGCGCTCTTCCCCACGTGGCACTGCGGGCGCTCCTGCGCTCAGGGCTCAGCGGGAGACCCCGCTCTGCCTCCGGTGGCGCCTGCCCGGTGGCCTGGGGAGGGATTGGGGAGGAGCAGGCGGCAACAGGCAAGGGGCGGGCACGTCCAGACCCAGCTGAGCCGAGATGGAATTAGCCTCCAGCGGAATAAGCCTGTCCAGCCGCGAGTGCAGCAGCGGGGCAGTCCGCGTTCGGCGTCCTGTGTGCCAGCACCATGGCCACCCCTGGGCTGCAAGGTGAGTCTTCCCTGCTGGGGACCCAGGTCCTGGGCAAGCTGTAGGAGGGAGAGGGGCTGGGGTGAAGGAGACGCATCCTAACGCCTGCCCTTCTGCATCGGTGACCTCAAGTGAACCTGGAGAGAGGGTGGTGAGGGGAGCTGATCCCTTTCCCCTTCGAGCAAGTTCTATGGAGGAGAGAAAATGTAGGACAAGAGGCAGAGGACTGGAACAGGGGCTTTTTGGGTGATGGACTACCGATTCCTACCTCAGCGAGTTTGCCTGTCCTTGTTACAAGTTGTTGGATGTTAAGTGTTGAGAGTAGGCAACCAACTCGCAGAGTTTAATTCAGAAACAGTGCGGAGGACAGAGGTTAGGATTCACCCCGAACAATTTTGACTTCGGCATCCCTGGCGTGCCCCTCCAGTTTCAGGAAGTCTCCTCCAGCCCTTAACCAACCTGCCCTCAGGAAGGGCATTTGCAACTCGGGGTGCAGGGAAACCCAGGCACTTCTTTCCTGGTGGTTTTTCTTAGAAGTAAAGCAAATTGAGATGGAGTTTGGGGGAGGAGGACATTATCTGCCTCGCCTCCCAAATTATCCTGAGCAGACAGGTGTGAGAGGGCAGGAATGATCTGGCCTGGACAGGGATTTTGTTGAGTGCCTTGTTTCTGGTGGTTCTTGAGAAAGGCGCAAAGTGGGGAGGTGCCCATTCTGTTGGCATGAACAGTAAGCTGAAGGGACTGGAAGGTGGTGCCACTCATTGTCCTTTGTGACAGGTATGGAGAGATACCTCCAGGAACCACGCAGACCCTGGTCCAGGACAGAGGTCCCATTGAGCAAAGTTAGTTCTAAATCAAAGGCAAGTGGCAGGTGGAGGGAAAAAAATCTTAGACAAGGTTGAGGCCTCCCAGAGGACTGTGATACCCTGTGTTCTTCTACTTGCCTGGACTGTGTTCTTAGAACCAGACATCAGAGCTCTTGCCCAGCTGTCTGTTCCCCTTCCCAGCTGCTGACGGGAGTGCCCATTTGCTCCTCACACTGTGTCTTGCCATGCGCCCATCATTTTGGGAGCCAAGGACCCAATATGGCCCTTTCCAGCAACTTTCTATACTCTCTGAATTGCCTCTATGTGGCAACCTGTGCCACTTTGCTGGCTGATTGAAGAGGCTGTGTAAGTGGTATGGCGGGTTCCAAACACCAACCTCAGGTTCTGGTCCAGTTTCCATGCGTACCTTCTCTGCCAACTTCCATTGTGGGGTAAGGCTGGAGGGCCAGAGGCATTGGGGTCTAAAGTGGAGCTTGTCTATCCTTTTCTCTAAGGAGTCTGCCTGAATGCCCAATACTGTGCTCAAGAAAGGCACACACCTGCCTATCTAGATGTTCTCCATTCTTGGTACTCTAAGATGATAACGCTTTAGCAGCCGCGTGCACTATTGATGGATATAGAAAGGAAGAGGTGGAGTC